AAACATCGTGGGGCTCCCGATTAGCCCGTACCTTCGTTAGTTCACGTAGTTCGTCAATTTACTTCAAGCGTTCATCGACATCAATCGAACTCCTGTGAACCGGATAGTGACGTTCATCGTCGTTCCTTAACACTGAGCCGTTCGTGGAGACCTATAGGTAATTTTTGATGCCTACAGCTGTCTCTGCTATGATCCAGGAGGAGACTCGTATTCGGCTACAGGCGAGGACAGGTGGACTTCCGGTGGTGAAGTCAGCACTGACAGCCTCTAGCAACACTGGATCTAGGGGAGAGACTCGACAGTGCTACAACTGCGGTGCGGTGGGTCATCTAAGGCATGCTTGCACCAAGCCACCCAAGGAAGGAGATTCGAGTGGACGTGGACAGTTCGGAGGTCGTGGTCGTGACCGTAGGGGTCGACGAGGTGGAAGAGGAGCAGGGAATCGGGCGAATTTGACGGTAGCAGAGGAAGAAGAAACTGAGGTGGCCTTTACAGAGGAGGATCGTGCTCTCCTGACGATACTCAGAAAAAAACAGCAAGTAGCAGGGGATGGAGACTTGAGGAGTGGGACTGAGGAGGCATCCACTTCGTTCTTCGCCAGAGGCAACACTGCTACCTATGCTCATCCGGCCAAATGTACTGATGACATACATGCTCTTGCTTCTATGTCTCCCAACAGATCATCAGAGTGGATAAACGATCTCGTCATGTGACAGGTAATGCTAGTGAGTTCTTATCATATACTCACTTAGCATCGCCTGATAGTATTCAAACAGCTAATGGTACATTTCAGCCGGTGGTTGGTAAGGGTACAGTCGATTGTACTGGTTCTGTAACTTTGTCCAATGTTTTGCATGCTCCTTCCTTTCCAGTCAATCTTTTATCCATTAGTTCTATCATCCTCCAACTAAAATGTATTGTTTCTTTTGATATTCCCAAGGTGATCTTTCAGGAGAAGGAGACAAGACGGAGACTTAGGACTGGCACATGGCGTAATGAACTGTGGTATCTGGATCGTGAAGGGCTAGATTTAGCTTTGGTGTTAATGGTAGAGAGAGCAGGAGTAGGATCTGATATGAGTGCTGAGAGTGTGTTGATGCTTCATCACAAACGCTTGAGACATACTTCTTTCGGTGTTTTAAGTAGGTTGTATCCATCTTTATTTAAGAAAGTAAATAAAGAGAAACTTGTGTGTGATGCATGTAAGTTGGGAAAGCTTACTAGAAGCTCTTATGTTAGTTATGATCATAGGAGTTCTCATGCATTTGATATGATACATTCAGATGTGTGGGGGCCATGTTCCACAAGTTCTATGAATGGATACAAGTATTTTGTTACCTTCATTGATTGCTTCTCTCGCGTTACTTGGTTATACCTGATAAAAAATAAGAGTGAAGTGTTTGGCTGCTTTCAAAACTTTCATAGGAATGTTCAGACTCAATATGGAGCAGTGGTGAAGGTATTGAGATCTGATAATGGGACAGAGTACACCAACAGAGTGTTTGGAGAATACTTATCATCTCAGGAAATACAACACCAGACTACGTGTCCATACACACCAGCTCAGAATGGGGTAGCAGAAAGGAAGAACAGACATCTTCTAGAGGTTGCTAGAAGTATGATGATCTTCATGAATGTCCCAGAAACATTGTGGGGGCAAACAGTGTTGACTGCAGCGGCGCTGATCAACAGAATGCCCTCGAGAGTACTGGATTAGAAGTCTCCGTGTGAGACGTTGAAAGGAGATAATGGTGGGATTCTTCCACTAAAAGTATTTGGTTGTGTGTGCTTTGTGAAGGATAACAGACTATCAGTCGGGAAGCTTTCCCCTAGAACGGTGAAGTGTATTTTTGTGGGATATTCTGCTACTCAAAAGGGATATGTTTGCTGGAGCCCGGTGGAGAAAAGGTTGTTCGTAAGTATGGATGTGTACTTTCGTGAATTTGAGCCATATTACACACAGAAGGTACCCTCATCTGTTGGTGACTCGCCCAATACTGAAAGTATGAGGCGAGAAGGGGAGAATGGTGAGAGGCAGGATAATATGGAGAAATCGATTTCTCTAACGATTCCTTGGGAAGGAGAATTGGTTGAGGAGGAGCAGGAGAATAAAGAAAAAGAGGATAAGGAGACAAGAGGTGTTAGGCCCACGGCTCAGGGAGAGCTACTTACCTATAGTAGTAAGGAGAAGCAAATTGCAGAAACAGTACCTACAGTACCACTAGTACCAAGTCCCTTATCAACGTCTGTCCCGACTCCTCAGACCCCTACACCAACATCAGATTCCTCTCAAGGTGATATCATTCCTCTCCTTACTCCTCCCACACCAATGTCAGTACGGAGGACTACTCGTAGCAATGCGGGACATCCTCCTGATAGATATGGTTGGGATCTTGCCCAGTTTGTATCATATTCTAATATCCACCCTGCACATGGAGCATTCATTGCATCATTGGACTCTGTTACTGTACCTAACAATTGACAGGTTGCTAAGGACCCAAAGTGGAAAGCGGCTATGCACGAGGAGCTAGGGGCTCTTGAGAAGAACCGTACTTGGGAGCTAGTAAAACTACCAGAAGGAAAGAGAGCAGTTGGATGTAAGTGGGTCTTCACTGTGAAGCAGAATCCAGATGGACAAGTTGAACGCTACAAGGCTCGTTTGGTGGTAAAAGGGTATAGTCAGACATATGGCATCGATTATGATGAGACTTTTGCACCGGTGGCAAAGATGGGCACTGTTCGGACCTTAATATCTCTGACAGTAAATGGTGGATGGAAGCTACACCAACTAGATGTGAAGAACGCATCTCTTCATGGAAATCTAGTGAAGGAGGTATACATGGAGATACCACCAGGATTCGGTACAGATCAGACAGTGGGAAAGGTCTGCAGATTGAAGAAGTCTCTCTATAGGCTAAAGCAGTCTCCCCGTGCTTGGTTTGACAGATTCAGGAGGGCTATGATTGGTATGGGGTACCAGCAGATCAGCGCCGACCATACCGTGTTCTTTCGAAGAAGTGGAGGTCACATCACCTTGCTTGCAGTATATGTGGATGATATGATTATTACAGGGGATGATGAGAAGGAGATTACCCAACTCAAAGTGAGACTGGGTAAGGAATTCGAGGTGAAAGATCTTGGCTTGCTTCGATACTTTCTTGGAATAGAGATAGCTCGAGGAGCGGAGGGGATTGTCTTATCCCAGAGAAAGTATGTCAAAGAGACAAGAATGTTAGGATGCAAACCTTCAACTACACCGATCGACCAGAAGTTTAAGCTGGGTGCTGAAGCTGGAAAACCAGTTGATCGTGACAGATACCAAAGGCTGGTGGGTAGGTTGATCCATCTGTGTCACACACGTCCCGATATCTCTTTTACAGTGAGCGTGGTGAGTCGCTACATGCATGATCCAAGGAAGGGTCATATGGACGCAGTGTACCAGATTCTAAGGTATTTGAAGAATGCCCCCGGAAAAGGGCTAATCTTCAGGAAGAATGAACACGTGAGCATTGAGGGTTATTGTGATTCTGATTGGGCTAGCTGTGCTGATGACAGGAGGTCCACCTCAGGATACTGTATCTTTATAGGAGGCAACTTAGTCTCGTGGAAGAGCAAGAAGCAGTCGGTGGTGGCGAGATCGACAGCTGAGGCAGAGTATAGAGCTATGGCCTTAGGAGTTGCTGAGTTGCTATGGTTAAAGAGTATGCTGATGGAGCTGAAGCTGGATCAAGGAGCTAAGATAAAGTTGTGGTGTGATAACAAGTCAGCCATCAGTATCGCCAACAACCCAGTGCAGCATGATAGAACCAAACACATCGAGATCGATAGGTTCTTCATCAAAGAGAAGTTGGATAGTGAACTACTGGAGCTAAGTCATGTTTCGACTAAGGATCAGGCAGCAGATTGTCTGACTAAAGGACTTAGCTCAGTAGATATGATTAGAGGATGTGACAAGATGGGCTTAGTAGATATCTTTCGCCCATCTTGAGGAGGAGTGTTAACATATGAGTATTAGTTAGGGACTTATTTGTAAGTTGTGTAGGGGCCTATATAAGCCCAAGAGATCTCATAATAAGATTAGGGTTTCTATTTCAACCCAAACAAATATAGGACAATTGATATCTTCAACTAGTCTGGCAAAGATAACATTACTAAAGCTCTTTCAACCAGTAGTTTATATTCCCATGTGTAACAGTTGGGCATATGTAATATATATGCTCCCGCTTGGGAGAGGGTATTAAGGAATATATTAGTATATTAGGAAAGAATATTGTCAAAGATGCTGCACTGCACCAAAACTCCAAAGTTGTGGTGAGTTAAAGATATATATTTATATTCTAACATGCTCTGCGGGTTGAAAGTCATTTTATGGGAAGAAACCTGGACTCACGCAATGGTATCAATTTTTTAAAATCCACATTAAATTTGTGGACACTGGGAATTGAACCTGGTCATTAAGGTACCATATCAAAGTATTTCGCGACTGAAATCCAAAGTTATGGTGAGGGTTAAGGAATATTTTTTCTATCGTATATATTAGGAATTTAGAATATATTGACTGAGATATACTACGGTCATGTTGAGAGAATGATGGACTAGTTTGAGAATAGCATACTTCTAAATGCATGATGTATATTTTAATTCCACCATTGTAAATGACAGAGATCACCAGGGCTATATAAATGAGTCTGGTTTTCCACAAAATTATTTGTACATCTCTTAACAGGATATTGTGAATGGTATTGTATATCTATTGACAAGATAGATTGAGGCTTAAGTGTATGCATGAGGATATCTCTATACTTGAGTGTACACAGCTGACTGAGTCACATTCTTTTACTTTGGGACCGGGGTTGTAAAAACTAAATAGGCGATTAGATATATCATATCGTTTTAGCTTTTCTAGAGACCAAAACCACAATCCTATAATACTGCAGAGCCAGTTGGATAAAATGAAAATTGCATTTAACAGAAGATGGGTTTAACATGCATGTACACACCTGAGATTGCTAGAATCTCACCAACATCCTCGGATGAAAAGCTTAATCCTCCAAATTTTCTATCGCTCTCGGCCCATAGAGAGAATATCTGAATATTTAAATTTGATTAGTAAATGTAATTAGAAATTAGTGACTGACAGATCGAGAAGACCATAAGGACAATTAAACTAAAGTGACAAAATTGAATCCACAATGGCTTAGAACTGGATCCAAGTTTATGATTGGTTGCAGACATGTTCTAGAATTTCCTTCAGAACTATGACATACATTGCCTATTATATAACTCTGCACAAGCCTTACTGTTAGAATAAGCCAGACTCCCTCCAACCACCATTAAATTTTCTTGTCATCTCGATTTCTTCCTGATTTTAGTATTGCCCATATCAGAAAGAAAATCAGATGGAGCGAGAAATTGTAGTCTGAAAAGAAGACTTTTTACAACATGTAATGCAGAAACAAAATATATTCTATTAAGAATTTTAGATGCTTATATACTGTTTTTTTAGTTGATCAGGAAGTACGATAACTCCAGTCTTTGTTCATCATGCTTGGGATGAAGACCATCTTCCAAATTCTTTATACTATATATGACAATAGTCATATCATATGACATATGAAGGGATTCTCTCATATATAGTGATGTGGCTTAATCTTAGATGAGTGTTGTGTCCTGAGTTAAGTGATTAAGAAAACAAAAATATCCCCTTATTCACTTGGCTTAGATTCAGTTACATCACGAGAGAATCCCTCAAATGTCATATGATGCTCACCACCCTCTTTGTGAGTGTGAATATGTAAAATGGGATTATACTTTTGTAGTCAAGATTACTACTAAACTATGTTGCATGGGAACTTAATCGGACACTACATGGATATATGTATATAGCAGCATAAACTCAATTATGTAATACATCTTTTAATTTAAAACACTTGACATACACTTCTTGGATGTATATCCCACATATACACTCCTTGAAACTCCGTTGGACATTGGTCGGGTTTGTTTTAGTCTGTATCCAATTCAAAACTATTTAAAGGGTCTTTTAGATATTAGGTTCACAAAAAGCAGTTTTCTAATTTATAGATCTATATAATAAAAGAAACATAAAATAAAAACAAAATTTTATAGGAATTTTAATTTTTATAGCATGTGAATGAAAAAATAATATTGGTCTCATCTGAATCATTATTACATATGTATGTCTATGTACAGACATTTCTCTGCATCCTGCCCTTTACAAATTTACCATGTACCCCACGAGTGCTCGTACCCGTATCCGTGTTACTTAGCTACTAAAGCCTGCTAAAATTCAAACTAATACACAACAATAAGTGTGTCAATAGGAAAAAAAATCAGAAAGACATATCAAAGTTTACCTCACTGTAAGCTGTATCATGAAGGGAGAAAACACAATATACTATGATAGATGACATTAATGGCCAATTTGTAAGAAGATTTTCCGTATTAGGTTGAACTCTTCCTTCATCTTCTAAATCGTTTTCTCTCTTACAGGAGACATGAGAAGATGCCTCCAGAGGTTCGATTATTCCATCTGTTGTTTTGTTTTGGGGATGATTGTGCAATGTTTCCTGCATAATCATGATTTTAATGAAACAATATTCAAGAATAAATTAATTCATGTTCTGACCCGTTATTTCCAGGTAGCCACTCGATTTACCAGAGGATAATATGAGTTAAAAACAAACATAGGGCCAAAGTAGTCCTAGTATGTCAATGTGAGTGGACAGCTAAGCCCTGCCAGAACCAGTAAAAAGAAAATTAAAAACCAGTACATTGAACATATTTGGTATGACCAATTTGTAAGATAAAGGTCAACGACGAACTCCAGTTGAAGTGAACAAAACATAGAACTTAAACATCCCAATGAGTACAAGAACATCAATAAGTAAATGACTAATGTTTTTTATGTTATAATAAGGATTTGGAAGGAAAAGGAATTCACGAAGAGAAAAATGAAATCCGCAAGTAAATGACTTCTTTTTGTTACAAGAAGGGTTTGAAAGAAAAGGAGGAGCATGAAAATAGTTTCAAAAACACTTTGTCCACTGGGAGCCCAGGTTGATTGTATGCTCAACATAGGTTAGCAAGTGGCTGCGCATGATGAAGAAGCATAGGTTAGCAAGTGGCTGTGCATGATGAAGAAGCCCACAAACAACTGAAAATAGAATCACACTAAGAGATGGGACCTTAATTAGAAGGAATTGGTGGAATGAAATAAATCGCAAAAAAAAAAACTATCTTGTAAAATGAAGTAACCATTAGTTTTATCTGCTCCTTAAAAAATTGATCTGCAGAAAGAAACACTTATAATGAGAGAAAGAAAGATTCTAGAACAGGATAGCTGATGAAGATATGGAACAGGTGCTGGGTTCTGTTTGAGTTCAGAAACCAACAAGCATTTACAGTTACATTTCAAGTGAACCACTAGCATTCGTGATAATTTCCTGTTTAATGATTCCTAGGAAAAGATATCACCTCTTCACTAATTCATCCTCTTCAGTATTATCCTCTATAAAACCAGAAGATGGATCAAAGCTAATCGATTGAAAATTTTAACAGGGCGGACACTCTAAGCTTAGTTAAAAGACGATCCATACCCAGGGAAAATTTCTGCCCACAAAAGGAGACTGCAATGCGCAAAGGGCTAGTGGAGAATAAGTATAATTCCCTTAACCATCACAACGACTTCAAAGTTTTGGTGCACTAGAAGGGACATTAACAGCCCGGTTATAGTGTCTACCTGTGCTGTCAAGGGAATATGTTTAATAAAACTAATTGATGCCATCACTAAAATTGTACAAACATAAAAAAAACATGAAGAATTATTTTCATTCACCAAAGAGGATATCATGCATGTGAAGGATGAACAAAATAATACTAGAAATAGGATTGTTACTTACTGGAAGCCAATAACAGGCAATAAGTACTCCAAAAGCAAAGAGTGATATAAAGAAACACGGCAAGAAGTAAGGAAACCTATAAACATGTGATGATTCAAAGAATAAGAACAATAATAAGGTAATCAAATTGAGGTAAGTAGGTGAACCATCCATACCTCCCAAGAAAAGATTCTTCAGGAATGATATACGGAAATTTTTCTGCAGGCTGATAATACATACATTAATCACAAAGAATAGGCTTAAAATGCACAAAACATTTCAACAATAAGAAATAAATAATTATATAGATTTCTATATGGATTTCTGTTACTAATCTCGTGCAAATTGTAAATTGTGATACACGTAAAGGAAACTCAATAGTATTTTTTTAATATTTTTTTCTAACTATCTCATCAGGTTATATTAGTTTTCGAGGCATCATCTTTGGAATCATACTTGTACCTACCAATAACATTTACTACACTACTAGTACAGTAAAATTGTTATGTCAGATCCTAAGCACTCAGACAACATGAACACAAAGAAGACTACCTTAGCTGGGCTGACACTGAAATGAGCAATTACAAAATAAAAATTTATAGAAGTGCTAAATGAGGAAAAGGATTGAGTGAAGGCCTTTATGAAAATTAATAAAGTAAAATAAAAATATATATGATATCTTTTATCACAAATGGAGATGATCTATGAAAATCAAAAGTGGGCACTATTCTGTAGTCAATAAATGTTTACAGTTGCTGATATATTATGCATAATGCATGATCATTATTATTTTTAAACATTTACCTAACCAGGTTTTTCTAATGATTGCACTTAAAATTCTTCGTAAAAAGGAAATATCAAGATCACACATTTCTTCTTTCATCCTTTTCAATTTAGCTTTGGTTAACTTTTTAAGCCATAAACTACTTCCCTCTTTATACTGAAAATCATGAGGAATAAATCTTTTAAGTTCTCTGGATAACTTAAATATACCTACATCTGCGCCTTCCTATCTGTATTTATGTATAATTTAAATATGCATAGTTAAAAACTTACATGAAACGTTCCATGACAAAATTTACATGATGTGTAATGGCAATTCTATAAGATATGTTTCTTCCAATTTTGACAAAAACCTGTATCAGTATCCAAGAAGCATCTGGTCAAGGATGCTCAATGTTCAGAATAGCGGCATAGGAGAACAGATACTTCTACATTGAAACTGTATTGATGCAAGACTCATGGTGGCACTTCTACATTGAAACCGTATCGATGCATGACTCATGGTGAAAAAATATTTTACCACTTTTTTTTCCATAAATACCAAGATCCTAATTTAGAATTTGCATGTTAAGCGTCATGCCCTAATTTTTCAGTAAGCTTCTTAAATGGACAAATGAAACATCCTAGTACAATTTTTTTATTAGGGTCTGAAAACATCATACCTGCGCAAAGAAACCTCCAAGAGCTGGACCAATAACAAGGCCTATGCCCCATGCTGTACTGACCTGAAAAAGGATATAAAGTGATCTGTCATTACTCTGAAGTTCGAAAGAAAGATGACATGTGTTGTAAATGAAAACCCTAATTCATTATGAGATCTCTTGGGCTTTATATAGGCCCCTACACAAGTTACAAATAAGTCCCTAACTAATACTAATATATCAACACTCCTCCTCAAGATGGGCGAAAGATATCTACTAAGCCCATCTTGTCACATCCTCTAATCATATCTACTGAGCTAAGTCCTTTAGTCAGACAATCTGCTGCCTGGTCCTTAGTCGAAACATGACTTAGCTCCAGTAGTTCACTATCCAACTTCTCTTTGATGAAGAACCTATCGATCTCGATGTGTTTGGTTCTATCATGCTGCACCGGGTTGTTGGCGATACTGATGGCTGACTTGTTGTCACACCACAACTTCATCTTAGCTCCTTGATCCAGCTTCAGCTCTACCAGCATACTCTTTAACCATAGCAACTCAGCAACTCCTAAGGCCATAGCTCTATAATCTGCCTCAGCTGTCGATCTCGCCACCACAGACTGTTTCTTGCTCTTCCACGAGACTAAGTTCCCTCCTATAAAGATGCAGTATCCTGAGGTGGACCTCCTGTCATCAGCACAACTAGCCCAATCAGAGTCACAGTAGCCCTCAATGCTCATGTGTTCATTCTTCCTGAAGATTAGCCCTTTTCCGGGGGCATTCTTCAAATACCTTAGAATCTGATACACTACGTCCATATGATCCTTCTTTGGATCATGCATGTAGCGACTCACCATGCTCACTGTAAAAGAGATATCAGGATGTGTGTGACTCAGATAGATCAATATCATCCACATATACTGCAAGTAAGGTGATGTGACCTCCACTTCTTCGAAAGAACACGGTATGGTCGGCGCTGATCTGCTGGTACCCCATACCAATCATAGCCCTTCTGAATCTGTCAAACCAAGCACGAGGAGACTGCTTTAGCCCATAGAGAGACTTCTTCAATCTGCAGACCTTTTTCACTGTCTGATCTGTATCGAATCCTGGTGGTATCTCCATGTATACTTCCTCCACTAGATCTCCATGAAGGAATGCGTTCTTCACATCTAGTTGGTGTAGCTTCCATCCACTATTTACTGCCAGAGAGATTAAGGTCCGAACAGTGCCCATCTTTACCACCGGTGCAAAAGTCTCATCGTAGTCGATGCCATATGTCTGACTATATCCTTTTGCCACCAAACGTGCTTTGTAGCGCTCAACCTGTCCATCTGGATTCTGCTTCACAGTGAAGACCCACTTGCATCCAACTGCTCTCTTCCCTTTTGGTAGTTTTACTAACTCCCAAGTATGGTTCTTCTCAAGAGCCCTTAGCTCTTCGTGCATATTTCTGGTCCTTCTTTGTAACCTGCCAATTGTTAGGTATAGTAACAGAGTCCAGAGATGTAATGAATGCTCCATGTGCAGGGTGGATGTTAGAATATGATACAAACTGAGCAAGATCCCAACCATATCTATCGGTAGGATTTCCCGCATTACTGCGAGTAGTCCTCCGTACGGTTTTAACATGCATAGAAGTAGTCGTTATAGTGAGTATACATGCTTTAGAACTTTCCTATTCCAAACTAGAGTGACTGTGCTTTATTTGCAGAAATTATCAATGTATACAGCTGCAAAGGGTAACACTGAAGTGATGTCCATCAGAACACTAACTGAAAATATGTTCGGAACATTATGAAACTTTTGACAACTATAACTACCATATAAGATTTCTCTATGATTGGCTGGTGCATACAAGGAACTGGACTTGATGGTTCATCAAAATCTAGAAAATGAAGACATACTTCGTACCGGTTCTTGTTTTACTATTTTTCAAGGACATATAATAATTATATGTTTTTACAAAAGCCAATATCATAATTGTGCTTGCTTGTGGAATTTCCTTAAATCATAATAAAAATGCAACAAAAAAAACAATTAAATTAGTATATCTTGTTGGATATCTTGACCCCAAGATATATTGTTTTGATGATAACAAATATTATATGTTGTGTGTATTATGTGCTAACGTTTGTTTTGCAGTATCAGAGCCAAATCAACAATGATAATCAAAGAGATACTCAAGATATAAGATAAGTTCAAAGCAACAAGAAGCAAAGAAGAAGATATGTTCAATAGTAAAGTTGTATTTTTACATTTTCTTTGCTTAGATTTTTCGTACAAGCCTTGATCATTTACAATACATACACACACATAACTTTTAGAACACACTAACACATGCTTAGTGTGTGGTTAACTATAGAAATCCCCTAAGTTAACCATTAGAGGTTATAAATATTGAATGAGTCTTAAAACATATCAAATATCTCATATTTATACCTTAGTAGTCGACTAATAGTCTTAGTAGTCGACTACTCAAGCCTTAGACAAAATATAAAGTTTCTGTCACATTACAGTGTAGTTGAGTAATATACAGTGTAATCGACTACTCAAGACTTAGACAGAATATCAGTTTCTATGTCATTTCAGATTAGTCGACTAATTAGCTTTGTAGTCGACTAATCAACTTTGAATCAGAATTCTAGACTTTATATAGATTACAGTGTAGTCGACTAATAATCAGAGTAGTCGACTACTAAGATAAATCTTAACTTCACAGAGTCTGTTTGAATTGAGTGTAATCGACTACTAAGAGTTATAGTTAACTATAGAGACAGTTTTTCTGACATTTCAAGTTTGAATTTATGACTGTTTATACCCGTTTTTATATTTATTTGGGTTAAAAACTTGTCTTTTTAAGGGCTATAAATAGGTTCTATGTTTAGAAATTGCCATCCATTATTTTTGTACTTGTAAGATTCATATATTGTGCAAATTAACTCTCAGGTTTTCAGTTTTCAGTTCTAAGTCTTAGAAAAATAGAGTTTCAAGATATTGTCTTTGTTCCCATCATTCTTAGAGATTGTTTAGGTAATATTCAGAGTCAAAAAGATTCATAAGCCACTGTTACACGTTCACATCCACATCAAGGCTTATAGGATTGGATTTGTATTCTTGCTACAATGAAGGTTTGTCACAGTTTTAAGAGGGTTGATCTCTTGGTCTAGAGATCGGTATGCAATTGGCATGGTCTTGTCAATTGGGGTTGTAATTTGCATGGTCTTGCAAATTGGTCAGGTTTGCTTGTGATTTTATAAGGTTTCAAAATCATAGTGAAAATCTCAAGCGGGATTTGCTTGGGGATTGGATGTACACCGGAGAGGTGGAATTAATATACATGTTTGTGTTTGTGATGTTCATATTCTGAGATTGTTATCATTCTTTCTTACAATTTATAACACATCTTGCAAACTCTTTAAATAACACTAAGCAACATTCTCTAGTGTTTTTTGTTATAAGCTTCTGTGGATCTTACTCTTGTATTAGATCAGATCCTACATATCTTACTACAATGCAGCGCACTTTTCCAATAAGGTCATTGAATATGTTTATCAAGGACTTTAAGGTTAATAAAAGATGGATAGGCGAATATTCGAACAATCAAAAAAATAAAAACGAAGAAAAAGATTACATTGAGATAGTTACGAGTTTGACTAATTTTCTGTTACTTGATCAAACAACCCCCAATTCAATTATTTCATCTACATCAAATGATCTTTCGAATTGGTCAAGCCTCTCAAGTTTATGGCATCTTGTCTATGGTACCAGTTGTTGTTTCATCAAATTTGCTTCATTAATAGGCTTGTGATTCGACTTTGATCGTTATGGATCCACGATCGAGTCCTAGGCATGTGGACCTAATTTTAACAGCCGGGACAGTAACAATGGAAATGGCTCCTCCTCTAGTGAGATTATATGAGCAAATGCCTGAATCAAAATATGTCATTGCTATGGGAGCCTGTACTATTACACGAGGGATGCTCAGTACTGATTCTTATAGTACTGTTCGGGGAGCTGATAAGTTAATTCCTGTGGATGTCTATTTGTCGGGTTGCCCGCCTAAACCAGAAGCAATTATAGATGCTATATCGAAACAGGCATGCATCTAGTATTAAAGAATGATAGAGAAGCCAAGTCATGTCTAAGCACAGAGAAACATCCTATGAACTAGTTCTAACCTCCACATGAAAATCTCCTATTTTCCAATTGAATTAATCTTAAAACTTACATTTCCTATTTCCCGTCCGATATTAACACGTGCCTCGTCTCCATTTATTGTCACTCTCTCTTTCACCTTCATACTTATTTTTCTTGGTTCTCTAAAACTTCGTCCAATTTAAGCAGACAGTGTGCATGAAAAATTATAGTGAATAGTCTAAATCATGACTAAAGATGCACATTAAAAGTAATATTTAAATCATGGTAAATGATGTAGAGAACGGTTAAGGTATGAATTTTCCATTAAGTCGTGTATATACCATGGCTTGCATAAGTCAGTACTGAATGGTTCATACCAGTGATAGTGCAATAGATTGATGCTCTGGTCGACAAACTTCTACGGCATATGCCTGAACAAAAGCATAATTAGAAAACAAAACTTGAGAGGGACAGAGGACAACTTCATCAACGTAAAAGAATTAGTGAATACCTTTATTGGGCCAAGTATACCATTAAAAGCTCCAAGAAAAAATCTCGTAGCAATTGCCATCCAATAATTTACACTTAATCCAAAGAGGGTGTTAAATATAATCCTGAAATACAAACAAAAAAAAAAGTCAAGAAAATGTCAAATGCACAGAACGTCTAAGAAACAGAAGCATTCATTCTTTACTAAAAGAGGTCCAAATTAATAATGTGCAAGAAATAAGCAGTACTGACACTGAAAAGAGGCCAATTATTATCACAGGCTTCCTTCCCCATCTATCTGCCACTATTCCCCAAAATACAGAAGTCAAAGCTCTCCCAAACATAAGCGCAGCACCTTTGAGATAAGAAAATGAATGCGTATGAATTTGGTAAAACTAAAGTGAGCAATACTTAGATAGATATCAACTATAAGAGAATAAGAGATAATCTTCACAACTAACCAACAAACCCTGCATAAAACCCGATATCTTCCACTCTATTGGCAATATGTAAGTCCCTTATCTGTGATAAATGAAAGTCGATGAATTCATGAACTATATATGAATTATGTCATATACACAGGTTCATTAGATCAAGATAAAGCATTATGAGCACTACTTTTGGACAATTATATTCTTTGATTGTGTCACCCATTTGAATCTCGAGGTTCTAGTATCAACATTCAGCCACTATTGCAAGGGTGGTGTAACTTACCAGTGTTGTTAGATATTAGAAAATCTAGAGGTCATTTACTCCAAATTTTGAGATTTTGTTGTTGTGGGCTATTTGCTTTCATATAAATTAAACTTGAGTATCTTTTAGGCATATTTCAAGCTTCCATTACAATACAAATTAAAAAAATCCTTTCTAATTAATATAGAATAATTAAGATTCCTTTTCTAGATTATTTAGAAAAAATAATTTATTCTAGAATAGTTCCAAGCATAAGACATCTGCATGAATAATTTCAACAGTTTTGTAGATTGACTTTAAAATTTTTAGAAACCAACATGCCTTAGCTAGCAAGAAAAGTGGTGCAAGATTTATCAATGGAATACTTATTATTAAGTTTTCTCATCCATTCATGTTCCGACACACAGAAATTTACACTAAATGTTTCAGTAACCTCAGAGATGAAGCCAATTATTTAAATTCTTCAAATTTACAAGCTAAGAAGAATGAAACAAGGAGCATATACATGAAGAAAAGTATAATCTTCTACGTACCATGAAGTACAAAAAGGGAAACAATGATGATATTGGTAAACCTGAGAATTGGCAGGAAAAAAATTAAAGATGTGAGAATCTTGTCAAAAACCTTGAAAATTTAAGATTTAGAAGCTCAACTAATAAGTAAAAAGATCTACTACAAGAACCAGTTAAGATTAATACCAGCAAATATGTAACAAACACTCCGGATGTTGGTAGAAATAGTAACTATTAGATTTCTCAGTAATTCTTTTCCCCTATGATTATATAGTTTTCTCAACTCTCAAAAAGTTGGATCTTGTGTTTCAAATAGGTTGAACAGAGTATATGCTAACAGTAGATAACTAAATCTATTAGTTATTTCTTACATAAATAACATATCACCAAATGCAGCAGTGATTTCAATACCCCTTGACATACTCCATGGTTCACAAAAAATTTATTCTAATAAATTTAATCAACTAACAATAGTCACAGAAAATTCTTCAGGAAGATAAAAAAGAAAAGGTTAAATCCTATCCTTGTCCCTGAAAAAAAACAGGATTATGTTCCTGCAAATAATTTCTAATGAAAATGATAAACAACACAAGGCCATTTCCTAGCTATTAGAGAAACACGAAAAGGTTTGCCACTTGAAAACGTATTTATGGCTCTATTCCAATGCCGACTAATTGCACCAAACATTTGTCTCATTCATAAAATAAGGTAATACATTCATGAAATAGTACCTAAATACAGAAACTTAGATAATTTTCCATCCATAAACATCTGATATTTGAGGGGGGGAAAACTATCAAATACTCCAAAACAAAACATACCCACATGAGAAAATCCAATTTTAGATCATGACAAATAACTACTACCAGATCATGGCAAAAACAGACCCAGATGAGAAAATCCAATCTTTGCCAAAAGAAATAACCCAAAATTCCCCTTACAAATTGCAAGAGTGCTGATCCAAACATAAAAGAACTCTCTGTAAGGCAACCCAAAGCTCTCATTCTTCTTCTTCTTCTCAATCCTGCAACCTGGGCAATTCTCAAAGTAGAGCGTGTCCAAAAATGGCACCTTGCTCTCATCCCCCATGGCTCCAGTTCTCAGTAGATATTGTTTCTCTTGGGTTTTTGGACAGACCCAGATGGAGATTTTGGTTAAAATGAAGAGAAACGGAACTTTTTTTAAGATTCAAATTTTGAGGGTTTGCACGTTACCCCTCAAGTCTTCCATAATCTTGTTATTAGCAATTTTACCCGCAATTCCATTATGGCCTGTTTGAATGGAGGGTAGAGAGGGGGAAGGTTTACCGCAATTCTATTATGGCCTGTTTAGAGCATCTCCAACCCAAAAATCCAAAATGGTGTAGATTTTACACTAAGTTAGTGTAGTTTTTACACCAAATCATTATTTCATCTCCAACCATTACACCAAATTTTACACATAAAAAAATATTCATTTTATTTACAAACCATAAAATGAGATATAGTTGGCATATTTGATTTGTTATAACAAACTATAAGGACAAACTTGGGAAAAACCAAAAACTCCATATCTACAGTGTTGCGCCAAATCTGGCGCAACACTGTAGCACCTCATCAAAATGGTGCTGAATTTGCAGTCTGGTTGGAGAAAGATTTGGCGCGGTTTTTGCTCCATTTTGGGTTTTTGGAGTTAGGTTGGAGATGCTCTTAGATGGAGGGTAGAGAGGGGGAAGAGAAGAAATCTCATTTTAATCTTGTTTGGGAGTTTCATTTAGGTAGGGTAGAGTAGGGGAAGGGAAAGGAAATTTGGCTCAAATTCTTACACCCCAAATTATGGTGTAATAGAAGGGATGGGAAGGAAGGAGAATTTTTCTTCTTCCTTTCCCTTTCTAACTGAACTCCCAAACACACATTTAGTGAATGAATTACCATAAACACCTCTATCAGTCAATCTATCCCAAACAACACTCTTTACCAAATTTAGTTTCATTAGACTTCGTTTGGATAGCATGATGTTTTCTTTATTGTGTTTTTATAAAAAGACACAATGTTTTTGTGTTTTTTCCTTAAAATGTTTTTAAAACATCATGTTGAGTATTTTTTATCAACACTGGTTTGACCCATTATAACATTAGTATTAAACATATTATTAATATATTAAATATTAATTATAATAAAATATATTATAAATAAAATATTATAATATTCAGTTTATATTATTATAGTATTATACGTATTAAATGTAATATAATATAATATTGTATAATGTACTTTAATGAGTTATATTATATTATAATTATTATTATATTATAATTATTACGTATTATTTTCAAATAATTATATATTTAATTATTTTGGTATATCAATTTGTTATTGTTGTATATTATATTAATATTTTTAATAATATTACATATTATAGTATAATATATACTATTATATAAAATTTATTTATCTATTATCTATAATTAATATTAATAATTTATAATTATGTTATTTCTCTATGTTATTAATAAATTAATATATTAAATATTTTAATTATATAAATATATATAGTTTTTATATGTTAGAGTTATATATAGTACTTTATGATATCTTAGTATTTATGATATAAATAAATATAATAATATTATGAATAATTATTTTTTATTTACCATTTTTAAATAAATTATTTTATTATTAAAAAATATTTTCTTATTAATTTATAATATTTATTACATAATATATAATATTTATATATTATATTATATTTACTATACAATATGTTATTATAATATTATTATTAAATATGTTACTATTATATAATATTTTATAATTATTAATTTATTATAATTTATTTATTAAAAAGTTAATAATATTATAGCGATTATACTATTGTATAGTATATTATTATATTATTATTTATTATTAATAACTTTTTATTATTTTTATTAGTTTATTTATATTTTATTTTTATTTATTTATTATGTAATTTATTATTAACATATTAAATATTTGTATTTAATATGTTACTATATTATTATATAAGATATTTTATTTATTTATTTTATGTTATTTAATAAATATTACTAATATATTAAATTAACTATAATATAGTATAATATAAGAAGCATGTTGGTAATAACTCTACAATAATTACATTCAATATATTATGTTAGATATTATATTAACACATTCTCAAACTCAAAACCAAAACACCAAACTTAAAACACCTAAAAGGTGTTTTGAAATAAGTGTTGTGTTTTTATTTTGAGCATAATTTAGCTCAAAAAACATCATGGTTTTCAAACGCATGATGTTTTACTTTTGGCAAAAACACCATGGAAATGAGTAAAACACCATAGTACTGAAGATTGGAGGGGAAAATAACCTAAATATCTAATATACTATCTTTCTAGACAATAGTCTTTTTATTATGGGAAAAATGCTTCCAGCCCCCAAAAGCCAAGGAAATGTGCTTCCCACCCCCAAAACTTTGTCAACAGGTGTTTTACCCCTAAAAATAAAGATTATGTTCTCTGAGCTCCCAAAACACAAAACCCAAGAGATTAAAATATGTGAAGACCATAATACCCTTCTCTCTCTTTTTTTTTATTAAAATATGATGAGGATTATTTTATTATTTTCGTTTTATCTCTCTCTTTATCATGATGTACTAAGATGATAGTTGAAATGATTGATGGTGATTATTTTATTATTTTTGTTTTTTATTATTTTTGTTATTTGTATTGGGAGATTTTTAAAGTTACGGGTTAATTGTTAATGTTACGAGTTAATTGTTAATGTTACGGGTCAATTGTTAAGGTTATGAATCCTCTCTCTCTCTCTCTCTCTCTCTCTCTCTCTCTCTCTCTCTATCATGATGTTACTTTGATGATATTGAAATGATTGAAGAGGATTATTATTTTATTATTTTTGTTTTTTATTCTTTTTGTATTTTTAGAATATTCGTTGTTAAGGATAATGGTTGGTTATAAAGGTTATGCATTGATTGTTAAGGTTACGGGTTGGTTGTTAAGGTTACGAGTTTGTTGTTAAGGTTATGGGTTTGTTGTGTAGGTTACAGATTTGTTGTTAAGGTTACGGGTTTAATTGTTAAAGTTACAGGTTTAATTGTTAATGTTACGTGTTTAATTGTTAAGGTTACGGGTTTAATTGTTACGGTTACGGTTTATTAATTATTAAGGTTACGGTTTAATCGTTAAGGTTACAGGTTTAATTGTTAAGGTTACAGGTTTAATTGTTACGGTTACGGGTTTAATTGTTAAGGTTACAATTTTAATTGTTAAGGTTACGGGTTTAATTATTAAGGTTACGGTTTAATTATTAATGTTACGGTTTAATTGTTAAGGTTATGGGTTTAATTGTTAAGGTTATGGGTTTAATTGTTAAGGTTACGGGTTTAATTGTTAAGGTTACCGGTTTAATTGTTAAGGTTACGGTTTAATTGTTAAGGTTACGGGTTTAATTGTTAAGATTACTAACCTTAACAATTGACCCGTAACATTAACAATTAACCCGTAACCTTAACAATCTTCCAATACAAACAAAAACAATTAGTTTTCTCATCAACAACGAAAATAATAAAAAATAAAAGTAATAAATAAAAATTAAACCCGTAACCTTAACAATTAAACACGTAACCTTAACAATTAAACTCGTAACCTTAACAATTAAACCCATAACCTTAACAACAAATCCGTAACCTACACAACAAACCCATAACCTTAACAACCAACTCGTAACCTTAACAATCAATGCATAACCTTTACAACCAACCATTATCCTTAACAATGAATATTCTAAAAATACGAAAAGAATAAAAAAACGAAAATAATAAAATAATAATCCTCTTCAATCATTTTAATATCATCAAAGTAACATCATGATAAAAATAATAAAATAATAATCCTCTTCAATCATTTTAATATCATCAAAGTAACATCATGATATATATATATATAGAGAGAGAGAGGATTCATAACCTTAACAATTGACCCGTAACATTAACAATTAACTCGTAACCTTAACAATTAACCTGTAACTTTAACAATCTCCCAATACAAACAACAAAAATAATAAAAAATGAAAATAATAAAATAATCTCCATCAATCATTTCAACTATCATCTCAGTACATCATGATAAAGAGAGAGAGTAAACGAAAATAATAAAATAATCCTCATCATTTTTTAATAAAAAAGAAAGAGAGAAAGAAGGGTATTATGGTCTTCACATATTTTAATATCTTGGGTTTTGTGTTTTGGGGGCTCAGAGAATAGAATCTTTATTTTTTGGGGTAAAACACCCGTTGACAAAGTCTTGGGGGTGGGAAGCACGTTTCCTTAGCTTTTGGGGGCTGGAAGCATTTTTCCCTTTTATTATTTGATAAAATATGCAAAAGGTAACGCTATGATATTATCTACTCCTCTATACTTAAAAGGAGAATCCAAAGAATTACTATTCATGCTGGAGAACCGTAAATAAAATCTGGTCCTTTGCACTAGAAACTAATGTTCACGCTACATTAATTTACTGTAGCATAAACAATAAACCAAATCTACTCCTCCATAATTAAAGTTATTATTTATGCTAGCTACAGTATTTTAGTGTATCATAAAAACTAAAGCAAATCAAATGTATTAAAACTTTGATCATTCTTGAAGTATAGAGAAATAAATATGATTTCTAAATCATATATATATATATATCAAAAACTCTATTTAAGAGTTAAAATTACATTAGTGCTTAAGGAGCCGTTTAATATTTTGAATTATACTGTAGCATTAACAGTATTTACATTAGTATAAACAGTAATTTAAAGATCTTTACTTTTAATTTTTTAAAAAAATAATAGATATGAGTGTTATTACTGCAATTCGTTCAAAGATTTGAGATTACATAGTCGTAGGAGATGAAGACAAAGGGTAGCAGATCATACCGACAAAAGGTAGCAGATCATAGAGACAAAAGGTGCGCATCACCATCTCCATCAGATCATATCATAACGTAGAAAGATGCAAATAATGACACCCGTTCGTAGGTAGCGAGAACATTAGCCACGTGATCGTGTTGGCTTTGGGTTGGTAAAAGACAAGGATCAGATCTTAAAGACGTGCTTTGGGGGAGATCGAGTATTTGGAGCGTTGTTAGGGAGATAGGGGTGTCCATCCGAGCCGGGCCGGGCATTTTTGTTAGGGAGGTAGATAGGAGTGTCCATCCGGACCGGTCCAGTCTGGCCCGAAAAACCGGGCCTGGGCTGAGAAAAACCGGAGCTCGGACCCGGGCTCGGGCCCGGGTCTAAGCGGGCCGGACACCAGG